GAGACTCCCTAATTCTCTTTTAAAGTAGTGTGGCCAGAGAAATATGTGAGCCACATAAGTAATTCTAAATTTTCTAGTAGGCACACTCAAAAGTAAAAGAAATTAGTGTTAATTATTTTACTCTGTATATCTAAACTATTCTAATTTTGGCTGTGTAGTAAATATAAAAAATTAACAAGAAAATAGGTTCCATTTCTTCTACTTAAGTCTTTAGAATGCAAAGTATATTTTACACTTGCGACATATGTCAATTGGTACTAGCCTTGTTTAGCCACATGCGGCTGCTGTATCGGATAGTACGGCCCATGGTGTAAGTAACAGATCCAGCTGCCTCACCGGAAGACAAATGGTGAGATTTCAGTCCTCTTCGAATCTAAGGTGACTAGAATGACCCAGAGGGAATCTCCGTTCTTCCAGCTTCCTGGGCCACTCTGTTGAACATTGCCTATCTCTAAACACTTGGTCCAGGAGCCCCCTTCAATATGATAGCATCTCCTCTTGCTGCTCTTATTTTTCTTCCAAGAGCCTGGCACTGACTGTAGCCACCCCCGTTTAGAGCCATCTCTCACTCTCCCTCCTTTAATAGGTATTTATCAGACACCTATGATTTTTCCCCATGCTCTGAGCTAGGCACCAGGGTTTCAACAGAAAACAAGATATAAATACATGCAATTCCTACTTTGGGAGAGCTCAGGGTACAGCAGGGAAGACAGATATGGAGTAAGGATTGACTCAGACTTAAATGTATATAATTTCTTTATTTTCTGTAAAAGTCAATTTAATTTCTACTCTGAATGCCCATCCTGTCAGATCATCCAGGAACTCAACTTCTACTTTTCTCACCTTTGAAGCAAAGGCCCTGAGGTCTTACCTAGTGCCCAGGTGCCAGGGTGCCCTCAACCCCACCCAGACATTATCATCATCAGCCCTCTCAGGACTCCATGGTGATGCCCACCTGTGATCCTGGCCATGCAGTGTCCCTTAGCACACGTGAAGCAGAGATGTCTTGGTGTAGTTGGGAATGTGGGACCCCTGGCTGCTTAGGTGGGACTATAGCCTGCCCTATAGAAGTGACCTGCTTCCTTGCACCCTATCTCAGAAAGCACGTGGCTCCCCACTGCCTACAGGACCCAGGGACTACTCAGGGCTTGCCTTCTCCTCCTTCCAGTTTTTAGTTGTAAGTAGGATAATATTATCTTCCCCTCATCTTCTTTCCTCCTTTCTGAAACATGCAAGAGAATCCTCTTGGTGGACTCAAGCTTTGGAATAGAAGTTGGGAAAGAAAGCCTTGAAAAGAATTAGCACTTTCTGTCTGCCCTACCACAAACCTCCCCTCAGGCCAGGGGATCCTAAGCTCACTCCATGCTGCAATGAAAGAAGAAGAAGAGAGAGAGAGAGAAAGAGAGAGAGACAGAGACAGAGACAGAGGCAGAGACAGAGAGACAGAGAGAGAGAGAGACAGAGAGAGAGAGGGGAGAGGGAGGAGAGAGGGAGAGGGAGAGGGAGAGGGAGAAGGAGAAGGAGAAGGAGAAGGAGAAGGAGAAGGAGAAGGAGAAGGAGAAGGAGAAGGAGAAGGAGAGAAAGAAAGAGGAAATGAGCAAGAGGAAAACTCAAGGGAGGGAAACACATAAGAATGAATATTTGAATAAACTGTCCTGCTGGAGAGCACAGGCCTTTGGCCAACACAGGGGTGGAGGCAGAAGACCTGGAACAGAGATTCCCCACAGAGGAGGCTAAGGAGTTTCTGAAATGTGACGAAACCCCGCATTTGCCTTATGAGGTTCCCAAAAAAAATGAGATGGGAGGAGAAAAAGATGGCAGACCCTGGCAGGGTAAGGACTATAATAGGACCTCAAAGAAACAACATAGGCAGACAAAAGGCTGAGCCAGGGGAACTCAAGGAGGCTCTCCAGACCAACGGATGGAGTCCAGCATCCTGGACCAACTTCCAGTTATGGTGAACTGACTTCCTCCCAAGGCAGCCTGTTCTAAACAGCTGTTAAGGGTTACATCTTCTTCCACAGAATTTGTTGCTTCTAATTCTGACCTCAGACTGCATAGAAAAAGTAATGAAAGCAAGGCTAGGAATGTAGCCCAGTGGTAGAGACCTGGGTCTAATCCCTAGCACTGGAAAACACACCCCCCCACACACACATACAGAGGGAGAGAGTGAGAGAGCGAGCGAGCGAGCGAGAGAGAGAGAGAGAGAGAGAGAGAGAGAGAAAGGAAATCAGACCCCATTGCATCACTCACATTCAAATGACCCTGCATCAGTAACAACTTCTCCAAGCTAACTTGCTCATCTAAAAAAATGTACACATAATAGCCCCTGCTTCCCAGGTTTTGTGTGAGAGGAAGGCAAGTAACATGGCCTAGGTACTTACTGTCCTGGTTGCTGCTTTTGTTGAGGGTGAAACAGCCAAGTGATCAACTCTGGAGCCCAGCTGTCAGGACTCAATCCTAGCAGTTGTGTGAAGTGAGTACTTCATCTCTCTGTTTCAGCTTTGTAATGTGAAAAAAAGGATGAGTTATGGATTAGTTGTTTGAACATGAGTATACATGTATCACGAGTATACATGTATCATGAGTATATAAGTCCACAGAGCAAGGGCTTAGTAGACATTAACCAATCTTTTCTCTTCTTTATTAGTACACATTTGTGATAGGCAATGCACACATTTATTGTGAGAAGTTGGTATATACACATATCACATTGTAGTCCTTTTTATCATTCCTCTCCCCTGTCTCTCCTCTTCCTCCATCTCTGAATCCCTTTCCCATCTGTAAAAGGCCTACCTCCCTGTTTCCTATCATCTGTCTTTTATTTTGCTCTTTAAATTATTTACACTTTGGCTTTCTGGTGTAAGAGAAACCATTTGATATTTAACCTTCTGTGTCTGATTTTTTTTCACTTAGCATTATTGTTCCAAGGTGCACCTGTTTTCCTACATATGACTCAAATGTATCCATCTCTATGGCAGAATAGTGTATAGCCACTGTGTATATGCACTACATTTTCTTTGTGCATTCATCTGTTGACAGACATATAGGCTGTCTCCAACACTTAGCTAGTTATTATGAGAGGTGCTGCTATAAACATGAGTGTACATGTGTCATTGCAATATGATGACTTTAACTCTTTCAGGAAGATATCCAGAAGAGATATAGCTGTGTTGAATAGAATTTCTACTTTTAGTTTTTAAAGAATTCTCCATACTGATTTCCATATGGTTATATTATTTTACATTCCCAACTAAAATGTTCATTTTTCCCTATAACTTCATGAACATATAACTTCCTGGTTTGGGTTTTTTTTTTTTTAGTTCACAATGACAGCTGTTCTTTCTAGACTAAGGTAGACTCTTAGTATGGCTTTCACTTGTATTTTTCTAATATCCAAAGGTCCTGAACATTTTTTCATATATTTATTGGCCATTTGAACATCTGAGAAGTCTGTATTCATTTCAAGTGTTCATTTTTTTGATTGAGTCTTTTTAGGAGGTGTTGACTTCTTTTAGTTCTTTACATATTCTAGATGTTAATCTTCTGTTTGAAGACTAGCTGGCAAAAATTTTTCCCATTCTGTAGGTTGTCTTTTCACTCTGTTGTTTCCTTTGCTGTGCAGAAGCTTAATATAATATGATCCCATTTGTTGACTTTTGGTGTTATTTCTTGTACAGCTGGGGTTCTGTTCAGAAAGTCTCTGCCTATGCCTGTGTCTTCAAGAGTTTTATCTTTTTATCTTCCAGAAGATTCAGTGTTTCTGTTTTAATATCTAGGTCTTTGATGCCACTTTTTATTATTTCCTTTCTTCTTTCTGACACACAGAAAATGTTGATCATGCCCACATATGCAAGTCTTCTCTTCTCTAGACTTTCCTTTGGAGGCTGTGTGGAGGCCACCCTTACCTAGGAGAAGGGATCCACTCCACTGTCCATGGGCATCTTCATCCTCTGGGCCCAGAGATGAGCACATCCTCTGGGTGTAGCCTGACTTCCTAGGGAGGGAAGGGCTGTTGTTTCTTACCCTCTCCCAATTTTCTGCCTGTCCTAACAGACAGTAAAGAACAGGACAGGCTTGGAGAGTCATATCACCCCACCTCTTGGTAGGCACAGCTAACTCAGTGGAGATTCCTGCTGCTGGTGGCTCTATAGGTGATGACTGTCATGAGTGACATAATAGTTAAAGATAAAGGTGTAGGTGCCACCATATTGGTGATGTTGATGGCAGTGTTAAAAGTGGTCAAGATGTTGTTGATGGTGACAATGACACTAACTATGATGGGAGTGATGGGCTAGGTGACAGATGGTAGCAGTAATAACAACATTGATAATGATGTAAGAAATATTATTGGTGACAGTGAGGATAATGGTGATAGGAGTATGAGTTGCTAATATTCCTGGTGACCCTGGTGGTGTTGGTGGCAGTGGTGATGGAGATGAGATTGGTGACAGTGATATTAGTGAAGACACATGCAGAGATAATGATGATGCTGTACAGAGTGATATGACACTGATTTTGAAGGTTCAGGTGGCAGTGATAACAACAATGATAATGCTGGTGGTGGTAACCGAGACCGAGACAATGATAATCATTATGTCATAAAGGTACCATAATGATACCTGTATTCATCATGAATAAACTCGTCACTTAGGATATTTGTGATGCAAAGGGGATGATACTTAAAGTAATAGGAATAATAATGAGAAAGATGATTATGGTGATCATTGGAATGGTAATGTTAGTGACTATTAGGATGCTAATGCTTGTGATGGTAAAATTTAAGCACACAAATTTTATTCCCTCTTTCAAAATCCCCTGTTGAGTACCTTTAGGGCCAAGAACCAGTGGAACACTTGCTGGCCCCCATTGCCACTCTTGTGGTGACAAAATTCCCATCCTCCATGTCCCCTCCCAGAGCTCCTTTACCCATCCCACAGCCATCTCTGAGTAGGACCTCTGGTATTCAGCTGATTGCCCTGGGTTGTGTGTCTCCCTAGGTTGAGGACTCCCCCTCTGAACAGAGCCCTGAGGAGTCCTCAGATAAGCAAGATAACCCAGCCCAGATAGCACCAGACCTGACTGTGATCCAGTTCATCAAAGGTAAGTGGCCTTGGGTCAGGGTTGAAGAAGGCAGGCCAGAGGTATCCTCGAGGCTGTACAAGATCCAGTCCTTTCCTACCTTTCTTGATTACAGCCCCTCAAAGCACGGCACGTTCCTGTGAATCTTTGCTCATGCAGTGCTCTCTGTCTGAAACATTTTTATTTCATCCGTCAAATTTGTCCTTGTCTCTTGTATTAGCTTTTTGTTGCTGTGAGAAAATACCTAAGGAAAAAAACTTAAAGGAGGTAAAATTGATTTGGGCTCATGGCTTCAGAGGTTTCAGTCCATGGTTACCCAGTTCCTTTGCTTTAGGCTTGTGCAACAAGGCAGAAGCATGTGGTAGAGGAAAGCTGCTTACCTCCTGGTAGCTAGGAAGGAAGATGGAGAACGGGAAGGCAAGAGAGAGCCAGAGACAGAAGTTGGGAAGCCAGGGATAAGATCTATATATATATATATTTTAAAGGCATGGCTCTAGTGACCTGTTTCAGTCAACTAGGCCCTACTTCCCATTAGCCCATAGCCATAAACCAGTCAATAGAAACCAGTTATAATGTTAGCATCCTCATGATAGGCCCTATTGGGGATCAAGCCCTCCATATAGGAGTCTTTGGGGAACATTGCATATTTAAACCACAATGTTCATGTAGGTCATGGGCAAGAGCTACTCTCCCTTTCACCATGCCTGACTCTCCCAGCTAATAGAGCTGCTTTCCTCCCTCTTTGATGCTCTCCCTCCTAGATTCTATATCAGCTCTAAACTGCTCCATGTACTTGTCCAGCGCTTCCCCCAAGTGGTAAACTGCTAAAGGTCATGACCTATGCCCTTCTCCTCTTACCCACCACTGACCCTGAAAACAGAGGCCTTCAGTAAATATTTGTTAAGTTTCTAGGCTGTGACGTGGATGCAGGGAGCTCTGAACTTTTGTTCTAGATCCTTGCACCTCTTTAGGCTTCAGTGTCCCCAGTACAGTTTGTCAGTACAGTGAAAGGTAGACCGAAAAGTAGAACATTCTTGAAGCTCTGGTCCTGAGACTATGAACTCAATCAGTAACCCAAGTCCCCTTTGTGACCAGATCCCAATTCCATGAACATTTATTGAGTGTCAGGCTCCTGAAGAGCACCAAATGGCACACCAAAAGACCTACTATTGAGGTCTGGCCCACATTGCCTGGTGTAAAATCCTATAGAGTTACTTTACTTTTTTAACCTGAGCTTCCTCATCTGAAAGTTTGGATCTGCCACTCCCAAGATCTATATGAGAATCAAGTGGGATGATGTATAGAAAGTCCCTGTATACTATTTAAATAACCATACTTTCATAAGGTTCATTTATTTCCATGATCATCCTATGCTATTCTTGTTGTGACCACACCCTGGGATAGTAAGTAGAGCTGCCTCTGGTTTAGGAGGATACTTAATCTCTCACTGAAGACTTTTGCAACAGGAAAGAACTGGCCCCAGTTCTTGGAAGAGGTTTTGAAGATTTAATGCTGCAGTATCAGTAATATCGTCCCCCATTCTCCAGCACCACCAGCAAAGCAACGTCTGGACTCCATGGGCCATGCCGGGAGGTTGGGGCTAGACTCACTAACTTAGGTCACCCCCAGCTGCTGGAAGCCTCAGCACATTGCACCAGGGAGAGTTTATTAATCACTGCTTTGGCTCCTTCCCAGAGAGATGCTGGACTCAGTTTTTGAAATTGAATCCTAGAGTGGGTGTTCTGGATCACTGATTGTTTCAGTTTCTATAGGTTCCTCCAGGAGACCAAGGCAGGGCTGACCACGGGTCCTGTAGCTAGTTGGGCATCTGGCTTTTAGGCTTCTGCTTTGTAGCTTCAGAGGGGCTAGTCTGACCAAAAGGCCTGGCTTTGACCTCCATGGAACCATGAGAGGGCAGAGGCTCCTGACTCACGCAGTCCTACACTGAGGGGAGACCTATCCGATTTGAAGCAGGTGCCTGGCCTCTGAGCTGACTTATGAGGAAGATACAGTTACTGAGTTGCGGCAGGCCCTAGCTTGCCTGATGGGGAGACATCATGCTGGGCTGAGGAAAGCCTTGTTTTATGGGAAGACTTGCCTGTGAGCTGGAAGCAGGCCCTGGAATTACCCTTCAGGTAGCACCATCTAAGCAAATTGCATAGCCCTGCCCTCCAGGAATTTTCCATCTGTCCTGGAGAAGGCCATGGATGCCAAGGAGAGGTGGAGGAGGGGCACACAGTACACTGCAGTGATGTATGCAGCAGGAGGGAGCCCTCTGAAGTCAGGCTGCCAGGGAGGACAGGATGGGGAGGCAGGGGGGATGGTAGGGGGATGGACTAAGAGTCAGCAGACGCAGGGGACTCCTGGGCTAGCCCTTCTCTCTCTGGATGAACTTGGCATGTTCCTACCCTTCTCTGGGCCCCACTTGCGGTGAAAGCATCTATACTACTTGGGCAAAGCTAGATTGAAATCCCTTGGTTTATATGAGGAATCGGGGAGCAGGAAACTGCAACAGCTACATGAAGTGAGGGTAAGGACCACACCACTCAGTTCCAAATTCTGGCTGGATGCATGGCATCTGGCAGGGGATTAGGGACAGGAGATGGTTCTGGAACACAAAGAAGGGGGAATTCCACAGTCCCAGCCCCCACTTGCCCCACCTAGACTATTTGACTTTATTTCCTGCCTCCTAAGAAAACAACTCGTGGGCTGGCTAAGCCCAGGGTTCTAGACAGCTAGCTGGCTTGGCCATGCTATACAGACAGACAGAACTCATGTCCCATGGGAGAGGCCCTGCTCCTGCCCCTGCAGAGACAGAAGGTGTCGCCCACTGGCCCAGAGGACCCCAATGGCTACCTCTCCCCCAGCGCAGCCTGGCAAATTGTTTGCTTCTCCTAGAAAAGGCTTTTGCCCTCTCCCCCACACCTGTCACTTCAGTCTTACCTACTGCAGGCGGAGGCGTGGCTATCCTTTGGTGACAATGGAGAGAGGCTCACATAGGTCAGGACAGACTTGCCCTTGGACATCCCCTGCACTGGCTACACTGATGAGGGCACTGAGGCCCAGAGGGGAGGGACTCATCCATCATTGTGTGCCCTTCAGTGTAGCAAGTCTCCGTTCAGAATTCCCTTTTCCCCTGGCTCTCTCTCTCCAGCCCCACTCATTCTGTAGCTCTTAACCTCCAGGAAGCCTCCCAGCACCAAGTCTGCTCAGCTTATACCTTCTCTGGAGCCCTTAGATTCTGCCCCAGATGTTTTGATATTTGATCATATATTAATCTATATATCCATTCATTCACTCCTTTATTCCACGAATATTTATTGAGTAACTTCAACGCTCTAGGCTCCAAAGATTCAGCAATTAATGCAAAACAAAAAACAAAACAAAAAAAGCAACCCTGCTCTAAAATTAAAATAGGCAGAGAGGGCTGGGGATTTAGCTCAGCGGCACGGCGCCTGCCTGGCAAGCGCAATGTCGTGAGTCCGGTTCCTGGTCCTGGAAAAAAACCAAAAAAAAATAAAAAATAAAAAATAAAATAAAATAGGCGGAGTGCTGGGCATGGTGCCACATGCCTGTAATCCCAGCACTCTGGAGGCTGAGGTAACAGAATTACTGTGAG